ATCTTATAGGTTAGAAAAGAAAGGACTGAAACGTACGAATAACGCACAAGTTCTTTCTTATACTCTTACAAATAATCTTATTCCAGTCATTTCCTTTCTGACCTACGCATTGTAAATCACAATAACAAGTCATTAAAAATGTAATACATAAATGTCAGCAAAACCACAAAATCGTAGAAATGTTGATGGCATTTTTTTTAATTTTATTCTATCGCTGATATTAAAAAATTGTAAATACATTTGAGGTACCTTTTCAATCAATATATCTACGTTTCCTACCTCTTTGATAAATTTGGAAAACAGACTGACCAATGTTTGTAGGAAATACAGATATTTTCCGACGTTGCCAAACATAAATCAGTGCAATGGAAAGCGTATACGTTTCCAAAAGCGAATACTAAACATTTATTATGTTCTAGAATACCGTGTCAGAAACGTATGCGCATTTTTGCCGCTCGCATTGTACGTGTACGTAAAATTGCGAACAAGTTGAAAAATACCCGAGTCGAAATTTTGGCCCTATGTTGAATCTTTAAATCTATTAAATAGTAGGACCTAAGACAGTAAAAGAGGTCGAACTGCAAGTACAAAATTTACTCCTACTTTAAAACTGATAGTGTCGGAAATTTCTACTTTGCTTTCAGAATTAAAGATTCAAGGGAGGAGTAAGAAAATATAATGTCATCAAAGTAGGTTATTGCTGGTCTATGTAGGTGTATAGATCAGCTAAGTAGGTGTAAATTATCCTTAAAAGTGTCAAAATAGTACAAAAATTTCGACACGGGAAGGGCCCCAGTAGCATTATCTTTTCGCCGACTGCCGTAAGCGGATTTCTGGCGTTAATGGATTAATATTTGAAGGACAAACGGAGAAAAATTACGCGAAAGCAGGCCAGATTCGCGCGTCCGAGATCCGGGAGATCCGGCGATTACGCGGGCGAGAGCTTAATCGAAAATTAATCCGAGCCGCGCGCTCGGTGCCCGGAACTTTGCGGAGGACACGATTCCATTATCGCGGCGGACTGCTTTTGGGTCATCTCCAGTACATGCCGTTCGCGAGACACGCTCGTTTCGATGTAAATTGAAAGCGGTCGGGCGACGATCGCGGGTCGGCGCGGCCGCGGGAATAATTGCAAGATTAATCGGTCCCCCCCCCCGTTCGCTCGATAGAAATATCCACCGGCAGTTCCGTGTGTTTAATCTTTTCTCTTTTTACTTATATTCTTTTTCGAGCCGGTCGCACCATTCGCACGCCTCGCCCGTCGGGATTAATCGGCGCGAGCGCCCTTCCGGCAACGTCTTTCCACCTTTTTCCGTTCGTTACCGTTTGCCCTGTAAATACGACGTTTTCTGAAAAGCGTTTGCTGAAAAGCATCGGCCAGATTTAATAAGCTTTTCGCGTGCTGTTCGTTAGGATTTTAACGAAGCTCTCATTCAGCGCGATGAAAGTCTCCTCCCGGTGATCTCCGCCGGTTGGATAAACTCAGGCTGCTTCTTCTTCTTCTTTTTTTTTTATTACGAATGCCTCGGTATTATATATGTTGGCACATTCCGGAGAAGTTAAGGTTTCGCTGGGTGTTCTTTCCAACTTTTATGACTGTTATAACGAGCGTTGCTGGCCGATGTTAACGAAGTCTTTGTGGATCGACTCCTGGCCAATTAACATTCGTCGAGAAAGTCGAGCTCTTGCCACAACTGAGACAATTCCTGGGGCGCCTTTCGCATTAGACTCGTCGAACGAGAAGTTTAAACAAATTATTCTTGAAAGTTACGACACAGGAAATGCCCCGGAATTAGTGTTGCCCGCCTGTGCAACGGGAAGAGCAGCCGGCTACGTCAACATTAAAGGAACGCCCTTCTATATAGCCCTTTGTATTTATAGAAATTCCAGACGAGTCATTTGGACGACGGTTCTTTTAGCCATCTTGTTAGATTCGTATCAAGTTCCGTAAGCCTCCGGTATTATCGTCGCAAATGCATTTTGTGGACAACTACCGGAGATCTATGACGCAATTTAGTTGTCGTGCACATTTTAATCGAGAAACATAATACATCGTCCTCCCTTTTGTGATAACTTTACAATATCTAAATTTACTATGGAGGCTTGCGGGTTTTGTTGATCAACTGACTTCTCCGGCGGAGAAGTTCCGGCGATGTTCGCGGGATAATCGATCGAGGGAGCATCTCGCCCGCGGCTGCGGGGGAGACGGGGTCGGATAGCTCGTCGCCCTGATGAAATCCCCGAGAGCTCTTTTCATGCTAATAAGATTTCGCCGGTCGCGCCCAATGGATACGCGCCAAAGCGCGAGGGAAAGACACCGTCGCCGCCGAGTTCGGCGCGCAGGAGACACCGAGAGGAAGAGAAACGTACAAAGGGACACGTCGTTTCGGCACGGCCGAACGGGAAATCCCTCGACGTGGTATTTTTGTCGGCGCTATAATTAATTCGATATATCTTGAGCGCGATGCCGCAGGTGAGAAAAGTAACGAGTTTCCCTGTAAACGGGACTCGGGAACGCATGGCATGTGCGACTGAAGTTCAGTTTCGAGTCTATTTCGTCGACGAGTTGAAAATCGTTTTAAACGAACACGCGTGTCCCCGAGTCGTATATTTTGGCTTTAGTTAAGCCTGGTATAATTTTTCACTTGGGAGCAATGAAGTCAAATTAAGGTCTTCGTGTCGAAATAAAAATATTGAATTTTTGACCTCAGATAGGCCTGAAAAGAGTCGCTGTTTCCCTTTCAGCGGCAAAGAGACCAATGCGAGTGTAATCAACAGAGGTTCGGTAGAACCTCTTCGGCCTAAAGGCCTGTGTCCACGATGCTAAAACGAGGTCCAAGTTCTAGTTCCGAAAAATGCGTAGCCAATCAACTTGCAGCTTCTATGGAATATTGATTAAAACTTGGACCAAGCTCTAGCCTTGTGGACACAGGCCTTAAGAGGTTTCGAAGAGGGTGGGATATTTTATTACATTCCCTTTGAGGGTTTGAATGAGGTTAAACACAATTTTGTTTACTCCTCTGGGCCTCAAATTGGAGTTTCAAACCGACTCCGTGGTCCAAGTGAAGACAGAATAGAATAATTGAAGCCCATTCCGGGACCGAATACTCGACTCGGGTCCAGGCAGCTTCAACTAACGAGAGCGATGCCGCGTTATTGTTAAATTAAATACATTGATCTGAAAGGCAGGTATAACGTGTCAATATTAGTCGTGCGACACGTAGATTCCCGCGTGCGGTTCCACTAATCGTTTAGTCAAGAATGCAGGAAATGGATGACGTTCGCGTCGAACGTGCTGCACGCCGCCCGATATTTTCCTATAATCCGTCGAGGCTTTATCGCGAACTTGCACGAGTAAATCCGCGTCTTCCCTGATGAATGCCGACGCTGTTCGCTGTTCGGGGGAGGGGGGGGGGGGTATCGGCGCGCATACTGCATATGCGATCGCATCCCATTTCGACTAGCACACATTGTCGTGTTAAATGGAAACTGCCAACGACGCGCGTTGGTCTCCGGTGAATTCGACGAAGTGCAACCGTCCGTTCGCTCGATCGATCTGAAGGTATTGTCCGGCGAGGAAAGTCGAGAAATGAGGAAAATGATAAACGAGAACTGTGGGAACGATTCGCGATATTGCGAGGCGATGCCGGCTGACGGCATCGCGTTCTCATCCGCTGTAAAATGATAAATTAAATCGCGATTGTAAATGCGCGCCGGATTATAAGTTCCTCGTAATACTATTAATCTTGGGCGAAGTACTTTACATAAATATGTAGAAGAGGTTGACTTTGTTGAGACAACGGGAACAACTTTCAACTGTTTTACGAACGAAGACGGGGAACGTTGATAAGAAGATGTGGAAAGTAATGACCACCTCTACGAAATTCGAACGTTCCGCTTGTGTCCGTTCTTAAAAAAAAGTTCGTCAATTAAATACCTACTAAGGAATTATTCAGATTCGTATGCATATTAAAGATATGACTTAGTAGTTTTATTAATATTTTCGAATGGAAAATAATATCTCGAATTCTGTTTGCGTCGCACAATACGTCGGGAAATGCTACAATCAAATATGCTTGTCTACGATATATTTCGAGTTTGGTTCCCGAGATTCTCTCAGGGAAGAAAGAACGCCGTGCCCTCCTTCCGCATCGAGAAAGAGGAGCACTTTGTGTCAATTAAACACGTACTAAGGAATTGTTAAAATTCATATACATATTAAAGACATGACTTAGTAGTGTTATTAATATTTTCGAATGGAAAATAATATCTCGAATTCTGTTTACATCGCACAATACGTCGGGAAATGCTACAATCAAATATGTTTGTCTACGATATATTCCGAGTTTGGTTCCCGAGATTCTCCCAGGGAAGAAATAACGCCGTGCCCTCCTTCCGCATCGAGAAAGAGGAGCACTTTGTGTCGTTATTGAACAAACAACGATATGTACTTAATACGAGCTCGTTCACGAAAGCGTGACTACGCCTATGTACGGTGCACTCGATGTACGAACTCTCTACATATGGGAACTGTTTATCCATTGGAACCAGTGTGACATATCGATCCAACATCGAACGCTTGTGCTGTACATAATTCGTCTTCATTAGTCACCGGTAGCTCAATCTACCAATATACAGGCATATAATCTCTAGTCTCCACACAAAAACGCACATATCGTGTATCATAAATTTATAAAGTGGGCCATAAATGGGCCTTATATCTTTTTAAATATCCATTTATTCATGTACATATATTTTTAAATGCACATTTTGAAATACACATTGCACAGTACATATTAATGTATTTTAATACGTATTGTATAATTAAATTTATATTACGGCCTCTTACAATCATTTAGGTGTAATATTTTTCATAAGAAAGAACCAAGTTTATTTTGTTCTGTACCTTTAGTCGCGCAAACGTCCACGTATCACGTCCGCGGAATCCCTCTTCAAGTACCGCACGTTCCCTCACGTGTCGTGAATTTCTGCTGTTACAGACGGAGCTGTCGCAGAATCTGCAGCAGCTGTCGGAGAGGGCCCGCTCGACGACGGAGTTCATTCAAAGGCTCAAAGGAATGACGGATAAAGTACATGTGAGTATGCCCGCCTTTGGCGCCCGTTTTAAATTCCGTGTCGACGGGCGCGTCAACGCGATACGGTGCCGTGAAATTGCGAAAAGATATGGCGTTAATTACGTCAGCTCTCCGCGGGATAGAACACCGGCGCGGATTCATCTCTGATGGTCGAAGGGAAAATTCGAATGTATAAAGGGTACCCCCCCTCCCAGGTGGCTTACAATCTCGACCAAACTTCAAAAGCCGCCAGATGAGATTTCTTTTGATATAGTCTTTTATTTTTCCCTCCTTTATACATGGATGTGCGCATCGATGAATCTGATATCGGATTTCTCGCACGATATCTGCACAGCCATTGTCTTTTAGATTCGTATATGTACAGTATATACGTGTGTGTGCGTAAGTAAAAAAACACTGTGCGCTACGTGTATGTATGTGCGATACTTTTGAAAAAATTGAAACACTAGTTTTGCGAAGGTAAATTAATTTTACGGAAACATAAGTTTCTCAATTATATCTCTATAAAAATTCTTACAATCGTTCTTTTTCCAAAGAGGTGAAATATGAACTTTATAACGACAGCTATCTATTATCATTGATCACAATTTCTTGTGCGTTAAGCGTATTCGATTCTCGCCAGAAAGAATTCTGTCGTGTACAGAAGATTTTATATATTATATCGAGGCGCTTCTAGATACTGTAATTAAAAACGGATCAATTTCGCTATCTCCCAGGAGGAGTGCGTGGCGCTCGAGGAGGAGGTCGAGGATCGGGTGACGAACCTGGTGAGTCTTCTGCAGGCGAGGAAATCACGGTTGATCGAGGCCGCCCGGCAGACCAGGGAGGCCAGGGTGCGCTCGCTGCGTGACCAAGTGGCGAGATGCGCCACGCATTTGCAGACGACCACTGCGCTGCTCACGTTCTGCATCGAGGCGCTGAAGGAGACCGACAGTGCGGCCTTCCTGCAGATCGGCGGCATGCTGTCGGTCCGGGCGGCTACGGCCGCCGGCTCCTGGGGCGGCGCCGAGGGCGTGCAGGAGATCGCCCGTCTGCCGTTGCTCGATCTCACCCTGGACGACAAACCGCTGCGCCGCGCCATCGATCAGCTCACCTTCGTCCAGCTCAAACGTGAGTCCGCCGTGATGGGCGAATGCGGTTTACATGATTAGTGTGTGACGTCTGTGTGCGAGCCGTAGATCGAACATACCCGGCGAGCCATCCGGCGATGATCGTGAATAAATTTCACGGACGGGTTTGGGTTTCCCGATAGTAACTACACTGCATTAAGACGAAATGAGAAATGGCATGAATTTTTACCCACGACGTACGTTGAGGTAAATGAGCTTTTTGCACGCCACCGTTCCCGTTTGATAGATTAGACTTGTACAACGCGCCAGCGCGCATAATTCCTTGAAAGAAAAAGAAGAAGAATTGAATATTACATTTCGATAAATTTATTCGTATCTATTTTGGTTGAAAGAGATACTTAATCTTTTTACAGCTAAATAAAGTGTAGGTACCGGGATAACCCGGTAGAACTTTGCTCTTTATGTTATTGATTTCGTTGCACCGTCAAAGTATCACTTAATTAATTGCCACGGAACTCAGTCAAAGTATCGCAGAGCTGCCGCGTGTACTGGAGAGAAAGTTACTTGGGAGCCAAAGCGATTAGAACTAACGAACAGATAATTTCGTTGCAGAATGTATCCGTATAGTTAGATAAATAAGGCACGTTCTCTTCTCTGGAGTGCTCATTTGAAATGTCTACACGTAACGTCGTACAATTTAGCGCAGTGAACAAAGCTGAAGGACGGCAACGATTGTTGGATAGAAATTGACTTAACCCTTTGAAGCATTTTTTCTTTCAGTCCATTTTTCGGAAACTTAATACGTGACGGCTTCCTGGGTCGCTGATTACGATTCTGGTGTACCAAATGCACACCCATGTTGGACCCGCCATTATGCATTTTGTAATTCTCACCTCATATCGTGTAATCAGCAACCTGAAGAACTTGCGAGTACCGAGTTTCAGATAAATCGATTGCATTCTTTGCAATTTCGACTCTTTATATTGGATCCGCCAGCTTAGATTTTTTAATTTTTTAATTTTGAACCTCAGCTTGGAAATCAGTGATCTCAAAACCCCCCCAGTACCTAGTTTCGGAATGTCGTTTACAGGAATGATTTCTTGACTGCAGGATATCTCTTATAGAAAAACAAAATTTTGTTAATTAAAACTTTGAGCTGCTATTCTGACAATGAGTTAGTCGTCGATAATTTTCGAATTTTGGATTCAGAATTAGCGAACGAAAAACTAGATATGAAGTACATCGGACTGAAAGAAGTGTTGGGCTTTTGAATTTCGGGAGGTGTAACTGATCTCTTTCGCAAGGTCGTATCTCGATTTTACGTGATTTCCGCTTTTCGTGCCTGGACCAGAATGAGCGTTTAAACACCCAAACCGAAAGTTGCGTGAAATCGAGATGCAACCTCGCGGAAGAGATCAGTCGAGATACACGTTACACCGTGCTTCAAAGGGTTAAGAGGCAAAGTGCTCTTTCACATTCCTAGCACATGCTTCAATAATTTTGCCAACAATTTCATTAATTCCCTAAACGTTTTGCGCGGATCTTTTTAAATCTCGTCTCCTGAAAAAACCGGCGCAGCAGCCTCGGTTGAGCGAATCGGATATTCCCCGCGCTATAACGCCTGAGATGGCGTGCAAAAACATCTCGTCGGCTCCTTATCCTCGTCGGAAACCCATCCGTTCGGTTCGTTACGCGAACTGAATCGCCCGCCGACGGCTCGCCGAATCCTAAGCTCGCATTGCGTATGTACGTGCCCGGCGTAAGGCAACGGGCGGTAAAAGCGGCGTAAACTCGTTCGAAAGACGCTTTCGTGCACGCTTAATTGACTCGTAGCTCCTCGTTCCGCGACTACCGGGATTTCGCGGAGCGATTTATCCGTACGGAGCCCCGCGCTGATCGCGCAACTTTGCGCGAGTCTTGTTCTCGTTGATGGTCGTTTACCCCTCAAATGGACGAAACGGAGGTTACACACGCCAAGTACGAGCTTCGACTTTCTCGTTATTGCGTAACCCCTGAAACGACCGGCGACGACGATCCAGAGCTCAGTTATGTAGACATTTAAATTAGCTGCAATTTCACGCTTCGGATCCCGCGACGTGTATCCCTTTGTCAATTAATTTTAACATCAGACTTGATAACAGTCGTACGAGAGGAAAGATCATTTTCAATAATAAATCCGGCGAGCGTGCAAATTAACAAAGAGAGAAAGAGAGTGTCCGGCAAGGGGCGACTTTCGAGCGAGTTTCGTTTGAGGTTCGCGCTTGCATGCGATGTACGTAAGTGTATGGGAATATTTTCACTGATTATAAATCACTCTACTGTTGGACGCAGCGTCAGAAGGGGAGGAACGATTTCCCACAGCAGGTAAAGGAAACCCAATAGTAAACGCAATCGTAGACGTACATTAGCGAGCGCACGGGGAGGCGTCTTCTCCTCTGAAGGGAGACGGGAGGTGGAAAAAGAAATAATAATTAAGAGAGATGAAGGAGGCGTCAATCTCACCCGCCAAAGTCGTCTAGACGCTCGGGGGATGACGCGGGGGAGTAGAGCCAGGGGGGTCCGCTTAATAATTTTACGTAGCCCCCGGGGGCGGCTCCTTGAAGCATGCCTCCTTGCTCGCGCCGCCGTAGCTTTGCCGTACGCTAAAACGTTTCAAAAGCGGATTAATTAGGTACCGGCTTTGCAGTAACTGCTGTAACGATCTGGAGGTATTAACTCGTTACAAGGAGACATCCTCTCCTTACCTTGCTCGGCTGGGCTGTACGCGGCTCTCCGTTACACGATGCCGGGTGTTACGCGCCGATGTCGGGTCGGGAAACGTTAATCGCGTCTGATTAACGTGTTTACGGATGTATGGATAACTTAATAACGTACGGGCTGGAAGCACGGGGAGAGCCGGCGTTGAGGCAGACGTAGCCCGAGACTCGATTCGCTCGGGGTGGTAAATAAAATTATCGATTTCGTCGACTCAATTTGACGATAGAATCAACTCTGGGAATTGGTCAAAGTGCCTGCCGTTATAATTAAGGGCGCGCGTCGCGCGCGTAACGCGTTCTACTTGGCTCATTATTTTAACGGATTTGTCAGCTCGCGCTTATCTGATTGAAATTAGGAGAGGCGAGCTAATGAAATACAAATCTATTTAGCGAGACCCGGTAAACGATTACCGTCGCGGCGGGTGTTAACTCGCCTCCCCATCGAGACATTTCACTCTCGCGCAGTCCTGATACAAATCGTATGGTGATATCAGAAAGTTTCTTCATTACGCGCAGCTCGCCCGTCAAAGAGTGGCACGCCTCGGTTCGTTAAAATCTGCGATCGGCAGTCGCACGGAATTTCATTTACTTAACCCGGCTTTGCAAATAGCAGGAATGTGCCCCGTGGAAACTTTCAAGTTCACGAGAATTCCGCGTAAAGTTTCGCAACGAAATCACTCGGGCGCGTTTTCTCGAATCTAACTAGAAAAGTACATGCATATTTCGTTGAGCGACGAGTCACTTTTTCCCTTATACGACACGCGGTATATTTTACGAGGTCGATAACTATTCTTCCGTAATCTCTCGAGAAATCTTACGTTTTAATTTTATTTTATATTTTACATTCTACTTTATTTCATGGGACGTTTCAATGTTATTTAACGAGTACTTTTGGTGACTTGTCGTTTTTCGTTGTAAATTTTCAAATTTACTTCGCACGGGAAATTTCGCGCCAAGCTGCGGGAACGAAAATCGGAAAATCTGCGATCGTAATTGTAACAGCTGCTTAACAGCTTACAACGGTGGTGAACGGCGGGCGAGGCGAAAATGCGGAATTCATTTTCGTATTTTACGAGGCCGTTACGTGCGCGCGCCCGGCGCCATTTCGATCTCGGTGGAGCGAACTTAATTGAACATAAAAATTCCGTCATATTGAGACGAGGGAGAGACAAGCGATCGTGGACGAACGACGATTCCCGAACAGGTGCTCCGCATTCTTAAATTTCGACTTTATTGCGCCGATATCTCCGAGTTTTACGGCACGAAAAATTGCCGGATCTCTCGGGCCGCCGCTAAATCGCGCTTATTATCTCTGCCACCGTGGTTGCAAAGGTAACCGGGCCCTCAAAAGTTTGTCACCGGGAAATTAAAAGTTTGTCACCGCGGAATTTGCGCGTCTTATCGCATTTCGTTTTACAGCGCGGCGTATCCGATTACGAGCGCGAATCATCGTTGCCTGGTGAAACGTTATGTTTGCGTCGCCAAACTGTTGTTACCGCAAATAGGAATGCAAAGTGAAAATTGCAGTCCTCCGTTTATCGCGTCCGGGATTGAGCGGTATTACTTAATTGTTTAGAGCCAATTTTCACGACATTTCTGGCAAATCGACACTTTGCGTTCTCTCTATTTGGCCAATAGATTTCTCTTCGTAGCGTCACTGTGGATGAAAAAAAAAGGAGAGCGAAGAGTCGGTCTGGACGTCCGGAAAATTAAACGCGGGCTTGTCGCGGACGAGGCTGACGACCGTACAATGCGACGTTAATGTCCCGTACGTATGTCTCGCCGAGATAACATGGGTAAACGGGAATTCTACCTCTCCTCGACGCTGGCAGATTAATTCGCTCATTAATTTATGCGCCGGCGATGCTGCAATCGCACTCCATCGTCAACGACCGTTCTTTTAATAACAACGATGATTCTCTCAGCTGCAGTTACCGCATATCGACCGAAGTGGCGCTTAATGCGAATATTTTATTCAAAAGATGTTCAATTAAGCTTCTCTATAGGTAAAAGAAGCGTGAGACACGAGATATTATCTCACACTGCGTCGCAAAACGAACGTACTGTTATTCAGAAATATTTTCAGCGAGAAAAGAGAGAAACTCCGAACTCTTTTTTTGCCGGATTTAATATAAAGTAAATTAGAAATTATATATCCAATTTTTAATTGTTATTCAAATACGAGAGAGATGGCCTGGTTTTTAGCCGCGCTAGAAAAATCTTTATTTTGCATGTAATATAAAATATTAAATTATCCGATTTAATATAAACTAAATTAGAAATT